GAGATCGGAAATTCTTCCAGCTATTCAAATCTTTTTTCAAATTTATTCTAGCTATTATGATCATGCAATAATTGCAACTAGACGTATTTATACGTCGCCGGGAGTCAAAGGGTTAGATATAACGCAGCTAATTCATACCCATATTTAACTTGTGATGAAGCAAAATAATATTTCGATGCTAATACATTTTTAGCTGGTGCTTGTAATAATCGCCGATATGTTGTACTTGATATTGTCTGTAAACGTTGATATGCTTGTCCTAATGTAGATCGAACATGATCTCGCATTTGTAATGTTGTTACACCTTGAATAAAAAATAATTTAAATACAAGAGGATGAGAAAAAATATACCATTATAATGTACAGTATCTGTTCGTCTTCGTTCTTGTGCAGCACCAATATGTAAATTCAAAAATCTTTCTAATTCAATATCAGCCTGTCGATGGATACTGAATATGCAATGCTGGTCTACCACGACCTTGTGTTGATTTGAGAAGTGGTTGATTTAATGATGATTGCATATTTTTAATTATTGGAATATCTTCGAATTTTGGATTTAATAGAAAATCCAGAAATGTATCATTCTCGGGATCAAAATTGTTGATAAACGTCTGAATTTGAACAGATAAGTTTCTCAGTTAAAAATGCCTCCATAAGATAAAAAAATGCTGCCATAAGATTACATCCGTGTGACAGTGTTATTTCTGTTACAACTGAATGCACGTTAATTGGCTTCATACAGAATATACAGCAAACAATACTTTATTTAGGAACAGACAAATATTTTCTTGTTTTATTTTACTGCTGATAATACTACAGTTGTTCTGTCAAAAGATGATTTACTGAATTATAAAGCACATGGTTTAGTTGGTGATACAGTTAAAGTGAAATATGATAATGAAATATTTAGTGGTAAAATATTATTTGCTGCTGATGATGAAAAATCAATTGAATCATATACAATAATACCAACATCATCATCAAGAAAACGTCGACGAATAAATACAACACCACCAAAATCTACTGCATCTCCGAAACCTTTTACAGATAAGCAAATCTCATCAAATATTATTGATCAACTTAATGCTTGCCCAATATTACATACATTAGATCAAAATGTTAAAGCATTAGATGATGAAATGAAATACTGTTTTCTAAATATGAACCAAATCAAAGAAGCTACTAGGTAATATGGCTAGAAGTATGAAAAATCTTGCTAGTTTACTGTTTAGAATGGCTAACAGAAATCAAAAGGAATCTCATGAACAAGAAACACAAACAGATGAAGTATGTCTCAAGAACAGTGCTGTCATACGATACTATCAGTTATTCACAAATATTCCATACTTTTTCAGCCATTTCCCAGTATTCGATTAATAACAGATTATGGTAGTGAATTTTGCCAAGATAATAATGATTTTAATGATGACGAAGATTGTTATGATTTACAAACGTTAAATACACAAATAAAACAGCATGCTAATGTAAAATTGAAAATTTGAAGCTGCTTTCTGTATCTTTATTAACAACCATACTCTGTTCTGAAATAGATAGAATACGACAATAATCGTGATACAGCTAGTTCAAGACCGGTAAATAAAATTTCAGTAAGTTTTTCTTATCAGTTTATCATACCTTACTTCATGTTTAGACATTACCTCTCGAAAATACAATTACAATAGACTCAAATCATGCATTATTGACACAAGTAGTTGGGATTTTACTTGTTAATTGTATACAAGTATGTTTAAAGTTTGAACGAAAGAAAGTTTCGCGCTACTGGATTTAATTTCGGATGACTGATAGAATAAATGAATCAACGCCATCTGAACATACACAACGTGTGAGTATTCACTCTGCGCGAAGTAGTCTCAGTTATATAAATCTTTTTCGCTGTTTAGTCAAATGCCGACAATATTAATTCACATGTCACAGTGATGGTTCAGTCAACTACAAAACTAGTCCATTTATGTGCTTTTATTCTGCACATAAATGGACTAAAAACCGGTTGAATGAATAATACATACCTTCAGTTTACACTGTAATATTATAAAAAATGATGACAAGTAACGATTTAGATAACTGTTGTATATACGAAGAAAAAAAGTTATCGAAGTTTTTCTTTATTCAGATATCGCTGACGAAGACAATGGAATAGAAGTATACTCCTTACAGAGAGAATTTACCGCTTTCTCTTGAAGGGATTAATTATGACACTATCTTTCTGTTCATTTCCGCTTCTTTGAAGATGAGACTTCTCAAAATTTTGTTTCGTTAATTTTGTCTTTTAATATTTTCAGAATCAAATAGTTCTGATCGATCCTATCAATATGGGTCGGCAATATACAGTCAATAAACCAAAGTATTAATTGTTAAAAAAAGACTGATCAAACATTAAATTCAGATTGTAATTCTACAAGACACTTACTACACCATCTTACTAATTCTTCATATTCGTTTCATGAACTAGAAAAAGGTTCAATTGATGGAAAAATTTCTCGTACTGTATCGTTGTCAGTATCACGAATGATCACTATCGATAATCATATGTTAAAACTTTATGGTTCATATTATGAAACGTATCGTAAATCAAAACTTTGTGCTGCTAAACAACGAGAATCATTTAGAGCTCAAAAATCATATTTATCAAACGATAAAACTACCGCATTAACTACCACATAATAAATAATGAATAATCATACTCAAAACAGACAATAACAAATATTATTTTAATTCAATGTACTATTAAATTTGTTAATAAAAAACCATTTTGCTTAAAAATCGAGATTCTTGGGCGGCTTCAGTTGTAGCCAGAATCCACATATAGCATATCATATCGTAGAATAAAAAGTCTATCTTAAAGTGCGACAGTACTCTACATTCGTTAAAAATTCAAGAAAGGGTGCCTTGTAAATTAAGGCTATTTTAGTTAGCTAAATTGTGCAAAAATCGAAAAATTTCTAACATGTTTTCGCTTTCGTTGAAAAGAAAAAGATCTTCATAATGCGATAGAATAGATTATATGATTTGAACACGGATATTTAAACATGTATTTATAAAGAGGAAGAATACAGTTCAGCTTTAAATTCTATTAGCTTTTGTAACTATTAATCAAGAATGAAAATTTGTTCTATTCTGTGCATAGACCTATGAAAAATAAGTCTACGCGTAGATCTAGAAGTAGAGTACAGAAAAGAGAGTGATATTGATCTACATCTATGCGTAGACTATGGTCTACGTCTAAACGTAGATTTATTTTTGATGGCTTCCCCAACTCTTTTCTCATACGATTAACTTTGTTGTAACTCAAAATAATTGGCCAGCTCAACTTGCGGTCAATATCTCACAAGGGTAAACCTATAGATAGAGAGAAAAGGAAAATGTATGGGAAATCCATGTTTTTATTTTAGTCGATTTGCTACATATACTGCTGAAAATGGATTTTGCTGGCAATTTTAAACATAGTTGGGCTGGTCAAGGGATTACATTACTTGAAATTTCTGTTAGAACACATGACAATAATATCTACTATGATTTGAGCGTCATTGACGGTTTTAATGTACTAATGAAAGTTTATGTACCAGACGGGTATGATAAATTGGAAGTTTCCTAAGATACTATTCAAATCGATTCTTTACTTTTCTTTTATAGAACATACATCAAAGCACTCCACTCTCGAGCACCAGATGCCTATTTGTATCCCACAGATGATAGTAAAATACATGGAACATCGAATGATGGAAAATTTGTTGTTGTATTTGAACGGTGATCGATTGTTTTTTGACATGCCTCGCCCATCTTCCGTTTATTTCTGAATTTATTGAATCAGAAAATGAGTATGAGTGGATGAAAATGATAGTCCTTTGACTGTAAAGGAAAGGGTCTTATCGGGTTAAAAATCATTAGATGAAAATGTGCAAAAAGTAGCTCCGATTACTTAATCGTAAATAAGGCTTTTTCCTTTCGAAATCTGACAAGAAATTAGTTTTGGTGCTGCCGATCTAATCTTATTATCGGTCTTCGAAATTAGAGGGATAGCGAGTAGTAAAGGAAGTAGCAGACCGCCGATTAAGACAGAAATGTGTGATTCAGGACAGAGTAGAATTTCCGTAATTACGTGAGCTAGGACAAGCATCATGTCTGTGAGGTGTATGATGAAAATAGCTCCAGCTCATGGTAAGTGATCATTAAGAAAAATTGCTTCGATAAGAACCAAGTTCGGCCAGTTAGAGAATGCACGTTAAAGCAAGCGATTGGCATCGGCGATTCCTTTCCAGTCAAGGGATAAGTGAATCCGCATGATGAACGCTACTTGTTGTTAGTGTTTATTTCACATTTACATCGATTACGGTTTTTATGACATTATGACATATTATGCAATATTATTTGTTTTTATCTTTTGTTTAGAAAAAACTTAGCGTATTCTTCTAACGAAAGAAATATGCAGTAAAAAATTTTAACGACATGTCATTCAGTCCGCCAGTTTGATTCTCTTACTCACAATTCATATTTCGAAAATATAAGCCCATTATGACATGTTCTTTCATTGGAAAAACGAGCTTAACTGATTAATCCTTTATATATCCTTTTCATCAGGGCATATCCTTGCATTATATGCCCTTTTCTTCTTTGAAAAACGTACAGCAGTTGTTTCCCTTAGTTCAAAAGTAGAATGAAATCAAGAGACAGAGAGTATTCATTTCTTATAAACACGTCGTTAGTCTTCCCCATCTTTAAGAAATGCTTCTGCTGTATGTGTTTTGTTCTGGTAGAAAATTGAAGGGACAGAAGTAATTAGCTCTTATTCATTCATCTTTTTGAACTCCATGTAAAGAAAAAAATGAAAAAAAATTCAAACGAAAAGGATGCTGAACAATTGTAAAAATCGTTCTAGACTTTCGATTTTTTTAAAAATATATTCCACTTTTGATTTTCAATTTGTCCACTTACGAATTCGCCGGGGATTTTCAACTTTAAAAGCGTGTTTGATTTTAGGCAAAATCAATTATTTTCTAGAGTATCCACTTTGATTACTTGAAAAATCAAACGCGATTTTTCAAAAAACTTGAATTGCTTTTCCAGAAAATCCAGAGACATCTTATAAAAAAGGTAAAATTCTTGAAAATCATGTTTTCACGAAAGTAGAAAATCACTGCTGAGTCCATATATGGACAAACTAAAAATCGTTTTTTATTTTCTATAACTTATTTTCAAGTTTACAGTGAACTTGGATTTGAATTTGGATTGAACTTGGATTTGGCGGTGATCCATAAAGGGTCGTGTGACTGGCTCTTACCTATTAACTTTAGTAAATGTTTTCATATGTTCTTTACTAATCGTCACAAGCATGGTACTTCTCCATTGTTTATTGGTGGCACTAGGCTGGAATTGGTACACTTTCACACACACCTTGGGCTCGTTCTTACGTCAGGCCTCGATTGGACTTCCCACATTGATATAATCGTAGCCAAGTGCTCCAAAATAATTGAATCCATGAAATTACTTAGTCGAATAGTTTCTCGTCAAGTTCTTGCTCTAGTTTACAACTCATTCGTTCTATCTATTTTGCTCTATGCCTCTGTTATATACTCGGGAACATCGGACAAGAACTTAGCTCGGTTAAGTATGCTTCAATACCAGTCAGCTCTTATGATAACTGGAGCAATGAAGGGTGTGTCTAAGGAAAAAGTCTTAGCTGACCTACGATGGCTACCAATTCAAACTATCTTTCAACGACAAAGATTACATTTTTTTCTATAAGGTTATTTGTGGTCTAAGCCCTATATTTCTTAGAAACTTGATAACTGACAATCAAACTATAAACCCATATAACACAAGGTCGGTTAGTCAAGGAAAGCTGCCAGTTGACTTACGTGCACTTGATGTATATGAAAGAACATTTGTATCTGAAACTACACGATTATGGAATGCCTTGGATTCACAGATCCGTTTATGTGCTAACCATAAACAGTTCAAAAAGTTGTTAGCGGATTCGGATAATATGTTTTCTCCGAGAATACCATTACACACCAATCGTATAATAGATATACATTTTGCGAGACTAAGGACTGCATTTTCTCAATTAAACAGTGAACTCTTCATACGTAATTTAGCTCAAAATGCATTCTGTTCTTGTAGTATGCGAGGGACAACAGCGCATTACTTTTTTGTTTGTAAACGATATACAGTATTGCACGTGTCAGATTACTGCAACAGCTAAAAGAAATTTTTTTAAACTCTTCAATCACTATCAACCATCTTCTGCTTCGTGATTTCTCTCTTCGGCAAATATCGATTACGGACTTGTACGAACTGTACAACGCCGTATGTGAGTTTATTCACGCCACAGACAGATTTGGGCATACCTGATGATTTACTGTCTACTATAGTACTAGTGTTTCGCTAACCGCACATGACATTCCCATCTTTCATTTTATGTTCTTCCTATTTACAGACACTTACTCCACTACATTTTAAATTTCTTTTTAAATTTTATCCGTGTTTTTATCTTTTACGTTTTTCATCTTTTTGATGTTTTTTATCTTGATACATCTCCCTCTTATGATAATCGTGAACCTACAATGCCGTTTAGCGATTGGTCTACTAATAAACGCGTTTAAACCAAGTTTACAGTGAATATTAAACGTAGAAATCCCAATATGTTCCTTTTGAGTATGAAGATAGATTGTGTTAGAGACTTGAATTTTTTTTTAAAAATGTTTGTCTTTCCATGCTGAACCCGAATATCATATTGAAAAGGTTTTTATAACGCGCAGTATTTTGCAAAATACTTTTTTTCCGACACCAAGCTGAAAAACTATGGTTTTCTAGAAACCGTACTTTCAAAGCTTTTGAAGAAAACTTTCTAGAAACAAAAAGAAAGAGCGCATCAAGAAACCCTTAAGAACCAGCAGACAGCTCGATACGTCAAGCTGCCCACATAAAGGTCGACCGAAAAAGTTCGACAGCTTTGTTGCTATAAAGTTTTGTTTCGTTATTTTCTTATGTTCATTTGTATATATAATATTTCTTTCTGTTCAATTGTATATTAATAAATTAAAGTGTCTTGATATTATTTTTCTTGTCAGTCTACTGATTAATTGGTAATCACTACTAACTAATTGCTATATATTCTATTTATATATATTTTCATTAATTTAAATGTACTTTAATTGATTTGGTGATCATTTCGATAGAGAGAAATTTGGTAATCAAAAGTGTAATTTTTGATGATCAAAAAAATACATACTCATAAAAGAAAATCTATACAAAAAGAATATATAGCAATTTAATAGTAAATTAATTAGTTTAGTTTCAGCATTATTGCAAATTCATTAATCGACAGACAAGAAAACGAATATAAAGAAAATCTATACAAGAAGAACCCACAAGAACTATAAATAACCGCTCTAAACCACAGAAGATACCATCAAAAAAGTATTGAAACAAGAATAGAAAGTATTACACACAGCTACATCGTCCAATGAAGCGAAAGAATACGCAAAGTTATAATTTAATGTTTGCCAGTATCGTCGATCAGATCTAAAAAACCACAAAAAAAACAATAAAATTTCAACAAACTTCACCGTTGGCAATAGAATTTCAAAAACCGTCAACTGTTGATATTTCATGGTGGTCAAAAGTGTTATTATTTCGTGATAAAAGCACATTTTTCACTTGTTTGCTTTGGTGAAAGATGATATTTATCAATGTCTAATGTTCCGTTTAGTGGCCATTTTAGAATTCTTGACGTAGAAGACTCGGCACATTTCAGCTCAAAATTACTGATTTTTGCTTGGTCACTATGTACCTCAACTTCTGAAATTCTGTGCTTCCCAGGTCATATCGTTTTTAACTTTACTTTTTGTAACTGCAATCGAACAGCCCTCAGAAAAACACTCTCGCAATACCCATAATTTCCATACTCTTAATCGTATACCATACTATAGTACAGTCTCTTAATAAGATGTAAACTAGAAAATCAATATTTCCTAGAAAGCTGGAAATTCGTCGAGGAATTTCTATAAACAAGAAAATCTCCTGCGATTTTTCTATAAACTGGAAATAAATTCAAGATTACAGTATCACAGTGGGTATTTTTTGCTAGAGCAGGCGGACTTTAGCTTTATGAGTGAACTAAAATTTCATGAACCATTTTTTTATAGGTTTTTCATGATCCTCTTTCTAATGGCATGAGAGTGGGGCTTTGAAAAGCTTTTTTAAGG